GGTATGGCCAAGACACTGAGGAGCCCACCCACCACAATCTTCGTGGGACCTGTCAGGATGGAGATAGGGAATAGGAGGATTAGGTGTCTGCCCCACCCGCCCCCTAGACGCAAAACCGGCCTCCCCCCCCCACACACACACCTGGCCGATCCACCTAAGATATGGTGGGGAGGTTAGGCCTCCATATCTACAGTACTTATTGAAAAAAGGGGGAGGGACTAGAATGTAGATGTGTATCTGGCGCCGGATTCAAGGTGAAGAGGTTCCCTCCCCTCCTCCTCAGTCAATCCCCTGGATCCAACGGTAATCAATCAATGCTGGCAGGAATCACAATTGTCAGATGTACTCCACTCTCTGTCTGTATAAGGGACGCTGGACCCGTTTTCCAGCGGGTGATGCTCCCCACCAATAGATGGAGCCTCTCCCCAAAGTGCTAGTGGTGCCTTCTCTTATCAGCACCACTAACAATGGTGGGAGTTCTTGTAAAACAAAAAAAATAAAAAATAAAAAATAAAAAATAAAAAAAAGAAAGACAAGTGGTACAACAAACTGAAGCACAACATTGCAATAGTTTATAAGGAATCCACAGTTAGAAACAGGACAAGAGTATGTAAAAAAAGAATGATGTACAAATAAAAGGGAATATAGATCAAAGGAGAAAAAAGGAATGGCTGTTGACATAGCAGCCGCAGTGCACAGCTCTCGCACTGTTCATTGCATCTGATTTGTCCCTCTCAGCCAGAGGGGAAAAAAAACCATTTGTGCTGAGCTGCGGCGGACATACTTTGTCACAATGGCAACGGACGGACGTGATGAGTAGAAGGCAGAGAATACTCCCTTATATTCCTTGCCTAAAAACACATCTGCTTTGTCGTTTATCTATTCTGCTTTGTCGTCGTTTATCTATTCTGCTTTGTCGTTTATCTATTCGTCGTTTATCTATTCTGCTTTGTCGTTTTTCTGTTCTGCTTTGTCGTCGTTTATCTATTCTGCTTTGTCGTCGTTTATCTATTCTGCTTTGTCGTTTATCTAT